GGCAAAAGGGAGGGGTGAGGAGGAGGAGGAGGAATGGAAAAAGGGGAGGATGGGGAGGATGGGATAGGGGAGGGGAGAATGGGGGGTAATTAGGTTCGGTCTGAGGAAGAAGACCGACAGGGCTAATTCCTCAGACCAAGAGCCTCTTCACCACGCCAAGGAGCCCCCCTTGAAGAGGTGATATATCAGTTGCCCCTCTATAAACATGTACATCCTGGAGCCTACCCATCAACCTTTTATCCTTTTATCACAGTATATTTTTACTAAATACAATTTTGCAGCTTGCTGCTCTTCCCTTGTCTTCCTCTTGGAGGAGAGCAAGAAAAACTTTCTTCAGATTAACTCCAGAGGGTAAATAATGCAAATGCAAAATAATCCAATTATTATATCTAGGGGTGATCCAAGGAAGAATAAAAATAAGATTTGTTGGATCAAGAGCCCTCACCAGCATCAAGGGTAGAATAACCCAAGAAAGACAAGCAGTGTGCCTTATTTTCACTTGAGGTTTTTGAGGCCCTCTGTCTTAGACCCTGATCTACAGCACTAGATAATACGAAGTTACTTATTTACTGCTAGCTGAACAGGTTTAGCAAGTGTTGAGAGACTTGCCCAATTTGTCTTCCTCCCAGGATTAAACTTAGGTCCTTTTGGTGTATTTCTCATATTCATATACAAAACCTGTACTTTAAAGGAGGGGTTTGGGATATTTGCTGTTTAGAGTGATGTCTAAACTGTCATATTTACATGCCTCTGCAAAGACAGTGATGGTGAAAGTTTTCTTTTTTTGGGTCACCCTGCCTCTGTGGGAGACAGCCAACATGTTAAAAAAAAGAATTGTATAGTCCTAGGGTTATTATAATCAAGGGGAAGTGCTAAACCCATAGGATTATACAGCACCTGGGGGGGATGTGGAAGGCATTCAGGCTTAATTCGGGGAACTGGAGCACAGATCCAATTCCCTAAATCAAGAGCCCCTCACCAACATCAAGGAACCTTCCCTGAGAGGTATAGTCCTAGGACGGTCATGTGAGGGCTGTGATTGGGATGGGGGAAGGGGTGGGTGAGTTGAGGACTGTGGTATCCCAGCAGTGGCAGACTGGGGCTTCCCTGACACCATATACACCTTCACAGGGGCAGGTACCACCCAAGGAGGGCAGGTATCACCCCAGGGGGCAGGAGGGCAGATACCACCTCAGATGGCAGGTACCACCCCAGGGGTAGGATTATGGACTTAAAATTAATAAAGGAATGAAGCTGACTGAATACCCAATTGCCACTTGCATCTAGGGTATGGATGGAGAGGGGAGTGTATGGGTGGATAGGGCAGGATATGGATGGAGAGGGCAGGATATGGATGAAGAGGGCAGGGTATGAAGAGTATGGATGAAGAGTACAGGGTATGGATAAAGAGAGCAGGGTGTGGATGGAGTGCAGGATAAGAAGAGTGCAGGGTACAGATGAAGAAAGCAAGGTATGGATGAAGAGGACAGGGTATGGATGGAGTGCTGGATATGGATGGATAGTGCAGGGTATGGATGGGTAGTGCAGGGTATGGATGAAGAAGGCAGGGTATGGATGAAGAGAGTAGGGTATGGATAGAGTGCAAGATATGGATGGAGAGTGCAGGGTATGGATAGAGAAGGCAGGGTATGAATGAAGAGGGTAGGGTATGGATGGAGAAGACAAGGTATGGATGAAGAGTGCAAGATATGTCACTAACATAGCCTAGGGGTTCATTGCTCCACAAAGATAGTAATGCTGCCAAGAATGAAGCAGCTGAGATGATCCATAACTGATAACATACATTGATAAAGATTGCTAACAAATATATTTTGTAAGGAGCAATGTGTCTTGGTGTTGATTAATGCTTATTATGTAGGCCACTGATAGGCCTACCCTGTGCTATACCTGCGATAAGAACTGCTTACAAAGTGAAGCTCAGCGTTAAACTTTAGAATGGTTTACAACTTGGAGGCAAAGAGGGGAATGTATGAGAGTATAGTTTTACCAATGCTCTTATATGGGTGTGAAGCGTGGGTGATGAATGTTGCAGCGAGGAGAAGGCTGGAGGCAGTGGAGATGTCATGTCTGAGGGCAATGTGTGGTGTGAATATAATGCAGAGAATTCGTAGTTTGGAAGTTAGGAGGAGGTGCGGGATTACCAAAACTGTTGTCCAGAGGGCTGAGGAAGGGTTGTTGAGGTGGTTCGGACATGTAGAGAGAATGGAGCGAAACAGAATGACTTCAAGAGTGTATCAGTCTGTAGTGGAAGGAAGGCGGGGTAGGGGTCGGCCTAGGAAGGTTGGAGGGAGGGGTAAAGGAGGTTTTGTGTGCGAGGGGCTTGGACTTCCAGCAGGCATGCGTGAGCGTGTTTGATAGGAGTGAATGGAGACAAATGGTTTTTAATACTTGACGTGCTGTTGGAGTGTGAGCAAAGTAACACTTATGAAGGGATTCAGGGAAACCGGCAGGCCGGACTTGAGTCCTGGAGATGGGAAGTACAGTGCCTGCACTCTGAAGGAGGGGTGTTAATGTTGCAGTTTAAAAACTGTAGTGTAAAGCACCCTTCTGGCAAGACAGTGATGGAGTGAATGATGGTGAAAGTTTTTCTTTTTCGGGCCACCCTGCCTTGGTGGGAATCGGCCGGTGTGATAATAAAAAAAAAAATATGAAGAGAGTGAGTGGCGTGAGGTAATTAAGGAACCTAAGACAGTCTCAAGAGGTGAGGGTGGGAGCATCAAGGGATCAGGAAGCCCACACAAGACAATAATATAATCATAATGGAAATATAATATAGAGAAGTCGGGGTGAAGACCCATCAGTTCCCCTTCCCCCCCCTGCCATGCCCCTCCCCTCAACATCATTACTGAGGAAATGAAGATATTATCTATTATTCCACTGAGGGTTCATCTATTAAGGGAGCTCAAGACCTTGTCAGAGCCCCACCCTCTGCATGGCTCTGACAAGCTGCTGGCTTAGCACTTCTTTTTTATTATAATAATAATAATAATAATCTGACAAGGTGTAATACTATCATATACCAAATTGTTAAAAAATCATTACCCACTAAACCTTTAGTGGAACACATGACCATATCCTCACGTCACAGCTAAAGTCTTGCAGCTCAGGCTGACAGGTTTCACCACTTGTGTGGCTGTATGACCCTTACGGGTTTAGCACTTAATTTGTTTATAACATTATCACGCATGTAGACAACCCACTGTGTGTGTGATGGAATATGAGAAGGAAATAAGGTAGTTGTTAGTCCCACTACACTTCTCTGAAATTAGCTTACAGAGAAGTGTACCTGCACATTGCTGGTGTTTATTAGTTAAATAATTTATTGAAGATCTTCCACTTTTTAACCCCCACCAAGTTACCAAATTCTTTCCTTAATGCACTTCACTGACATTACCCCAAAAAAAATTTCTCCAAGGTCCCCATAAGAATCCTGGTATTTATTATAATTCAAACCATGACAAAAAGGTTGAAGCAATATTCAGATAAATAATATAGGTTTTAGAGTCATCAGCATCAAAAAAGATCTGAGAGAGGTGAGCAAGTGTGTTTTTAGAGCAGGTGGCTCTGGGTGAAGTATGGACAACCTATTGTGACTACAGAGGATCATTGCACAGGAACAATTCTCGTGGACAGAGAAGGATTAAACATCCATGTCTTGCAGAACACTGCATAATTTGCTGCTCATCCATATAGCCCACCAGGCTTCCCATTTCCCTAGGACATACAAATTAATTTTGCCCAAAATGTAATGATGAGGCATAAGTCTACTGTGGTGTTTGCTCAATTTAGCATCCATGTAGCCATTACCAGAACCAACAGAATGCCTCATTCTTGCATCAGGCATGAGACTGGTGAGCCACTCCTGGGCCTTCTGAACTAGAGGTAAGCTGCAGCATACTCCACTAAAGCCAGCACACTTAATATGACTTGGTCAGCAAACAGAAACCCGTTGTTGCTGGTAATTATGGCGAATAACTAGGATAGCATGGAGATACATGGTGACTAAAAACTCGTGACAATTATGAGCAAGCAAATTCGATGCAGTAATTACCAAAGCTTAGGGGTCCTATATAACCCACAAACAACCATTAAAGTGCAAATGGAGCCTTGTTTGACTGGCAGAGGGTTTGCCCCCACCCCTTCCATGACTCCACAACAACCACAGCACGAGTTGATGTCACACATGCTAAACCTGGAACAGATAGTGCAGATTTAGCTCCTCAGGGATAGCTCATAAGAATCAATGTAGTGGCTTACCAGAGGGGCCATTTGAAATACCCCAATGCAAAATCAAATTCCCAGGATTCTTAAAGGAAGAGAGAGGATACTAGGGTTGTGATGGTAGGTCAGTGGGTGGTGGTGCTGGTTTAGAAGAGGCTACTGCATGGACTGAAGATAATAAATATTTGAATGGATAAAAGCCAAAAGCATCTAATTTCAAGTTTATGCTACTTAAGTTACTTGCTCATCATCATTAACAACAATAACATTAAGCTTTTTACTCTATAATTTAAGATTTTAATCTATTAATATAAATAAAGTGGATCCCCGGTTAACGATATTTTTTCACTCCAGAAGTATGTTCAGGTGCCAGTACTGATCGAATTTGTTCCCACAAGGAATATTGTGAAGTAGATTAGTCCATTTCAGACCCCCAAACATACACGTACAAACGCACTTACATAAATACACTTACATAATTGGTCGCATTCGGAGGTGATCGTTATGCGGGGGTCCACTGTATTTGATTATTGACTTAGTATTTACCATTCTCTAACTACTGTTAAAAACCCATCTACCAACATCTGTTTGTAGCAAGACAAAGGTGATGAGAATGTCATAGTAGCACTATACTGTGATGTTGTGGAGGGAGGTACAGGATGATGATGAGCATGCAGGAAGAAAGTGGCTGAAGGTGCAGGAGGGAAGTATAGTGTTGTGCCAAGTCTCGACTACTGCCGAGAATCCTGGGAATGTACCTGTGGGGAGGTCGAGGGTCTCTACCCTCCTGGGGTGGGCTGAGGTACCACCTGCAGGTGCTGGCCAACCATCTGGCCTGCGACCATATTCTCCGGTGTTTGACTGGTATCCAAACTTGTCTGGACCTCCAACACGTGCAGCTGAAGAGGCAGTAGTTTCTGAGGTCCAGCGAGCCCCAGTGTCACGTCCTGGTAACCTCTCGAGTCCTCTGTCTCTATACAAATTGTCATGAATGTCAAGGCCTGGAGATATTCTATCTCCTTCTCTTTTCCAGGCAGTGTCTTCTGTAATTCCATTAAAGCCCCTATTTACAGAGCTATGATGGTCAGAACCTACTCTTTGAAAATTTAAAATATCACCTGGCCTGTCAATGTTACTGTCAGTGAAGACTGTTGGCCCTAGGGTGGAAAGTGTGTAAGAAAATTTATCTGAAAATCTTTTATCATCTGTCTTCCACTTTGTGTTTGTAGGTGAGTAGCTTCTGACAGTCCCCGTGGCAGACGACCACAAGCCTCTACCACTTGGCTGTCTATTTATTGCTTTGTTGTGTACGTAAAGACCAGAACTGTTATCTTTTACCAATTTTTCGTCTTCAGTATCAAAGTGCTCATTCTTGAGATGTACACCTTTGGTGCTGTCAGATTCATCCAGAGGAGAGAACAGGGTTGAGGAAGAAGAGAAGGATGGACCACCAAAAGGTTTCCAATCAGAAGTTAGAGAAGTTGTAACATCTGAAGGCTCATCCAAACCTGAAGGTGCATAGTTATTAGTGAATGGGTAGTTGATGCCCTGGCCACTGCTCCTGCCCGGCAAAGATGCTGAAAATGAAGGGCTCTGTACCCCATCAGACCCTCCACCGCCATGCAAGTCCCCACTGTCAGCCACACTGTGTCCTGAGTCCCTTGTAGATTCCCATCCCTCCCTTGTGTCAAGTGAGTCAGATTTGGTGCTGACATCTGTTGCAAGTTTGTCTATGGGTCCAGTGCTAAGCCAGTATCCTGGAGGGTACTTGTGTCTGTAGTCCCATGCATACTCACGCTCCTCACTGGTCTCCATACCTTGCTTAAGAGGTTGCTGGCTATGGCTACTTTGTTCCACTGGTTGAAGGCTAGTGCTACTAGCAGCAGGGGAATTGTGAGATGTGGTGTGGTTTGATGCCAGGGCTCCTCCTGAGTACTGATTGTCCTTCAGGGGCTCTTGCGGAGAGGGTTCACTTGGATGAATGTATTGTGTGGAAAATGGAGGCTTATATCCTGGAGGTGCCCCTGGGACCCATGTAGCACGTCCAGACACGCCTTTTGAATCAGCGTTGGTGTCAGGCTTCTGCCATACAGGTCCAGGAGCCACCACTGGCAGTAAGGGCCCCAAAGGTTTCACTGGTGTTGTGGATTCAGGCAGCTCTTGTCTGGGAGGCACAGGTCTGGCAGGTGCGGGTCTAGGAAACACAGGTTTGGGAAGCTCAGGCTTGGAAACTGTGGGTACAGGAGTGGTGACTCTAGAAGACACAGGGACAGCAGTGTCATCTGGGTAGTCTGGTCGGTTATGGATGCTTGACCAGAAACCAACAGGGCTGTAGTCATCTTGACTGTGTGACTCTGGTTGGTGCTGGGACTTTAAGAATGTATCAGGATTATACCTATCCAAGTTCTTCTCATTGGAGGACTCAACACGGGCAGGTGGGGGACGGGGAAGAGGCAAGTGCGTCCAGGATGGGTCCAGTGTAGAAGGCCTTGTGGTGGTGGTGGATGTAGCAGTTGTGGATGTGGTGGTAGAGGTATCACGAGTGCTAGGTGTCACCCAAAGCCAGGATATGGTGGTAGTGCGAGCATTGGCCACACGGTAGCGAGCACCATTCACCTGTCTTCGACCACGCCTGCCCACATCGTCATCAATGGTGAGGACAGCACCAGTGCTCACCTTCTGCTCAAGCGGCAGCTGGAGTCCTGTCTCACTTGTTACGACAGGAAGGTCTTCGCCTGTAAAACAGAGCACTTGTTCCCTGCACAACACACTATAATCTCCCTCATGCTTGACTTCTACTGAGTTACTTTTTAAGGATGTAGTTAGTGGTCAGTACTGCAGTATTCAACCTAGCTAGTGATGAATAAAGATACATTGGTAAAAATTAACAATTAGTGTGTTTGGCAAAGCAGTTAAAAGGAGCAGTTATAAGATAAATTGTTAATGAAGCTAACACAACATGAGTTAACTTTAGCTGAGGGAGATACAAAAAGAATGTTTGTGAACACTACATTAGCTACCTCTAGCTGGAGTACTCACGTTCGTACACATAAGTGGTGTTCCTACAGTCACTGACAGTATAGTACATGAGCTGAGGTGTCTCACAATCAGAATATAGCTGGGCACAGTAGCCAGGAGCATCAGGCAGCACCCCAGCATAGTTTCCTACAATGGGGCACGTTGTTGGCTCCTCCAATAGTGACTCTGTACAAGAATAAATGACTAGAAAAGTAGTATATACTTAAAAACACAATATGCTCCATTGTCAGAGATAAATCTTGACCCAAGACTTGTATGATTATTGAGTTTTTTCACCACCTATCCATCAATCACAAATGTATACAAAGATATACACAAATTAAAAATAAAAATTCTTTATTTCTCTGTTAATATTACAATGTGGGGTTTACATATTACAAGATATTATTACATATTATAAAATACTTGGGTAGAAGGTTGGTAGACAGCAACTGCCCAGGGAGGTACTACCATCTTGCCTGTAATTGTTTTACATGATGGTAGGATTGCTGGTGTCCTTTCTTCTGTCTCATAAACATGCAAGATTTCAGGTACGTCTTGCTACTTCTACTTACACTTAGGTCACACTACACATACATGTACAAGCATATATATATACACACACCCCTCTGGGTTTTCTTCTATTTTCTTTCTACTTCTTGTTCTTGTTTATTTCCTCTTATCTCCATGGGGAAGTGGAACAGAATTCTTCCTCCGTAAGCTATGCATGTTGTAAGAGGTGACTAAAATGCCGGGAGCAAGGGGCTAGTAACCCCTTCTCCCATACAAATTATTAAATTTAAAAAGATAAACTTTCGTTTTTCTTTTTGGGCCACCCTGCCTTGGTGGGATATGGCTGGTTTGTTGAAAAAAAAAATACTTATTACAAAGAAGGCCACCAGTATGCCTAGGCATTTCGGGCAGACTAATACTAGTTCTTACTCTATATTGACACAGGATATGGATCATACTGGTATTAAGGTTAGGTAATTGTAGTGATTAACTAGATTTACAAAATTGAGGTAGTTCAAAATATTTAAGAACTTAACAAGTAGAACTATTAATGGAAATGGTCTCATTTTGCCATGATAGTTTCTATATTGGAGTGTCTTAGTCAAACTTATGACTAGCTTAAGAATTATGATGCAATAGCTGTATTAAAAAATTTATGTTTACAGTCAGTGTAAATTAGGGGGAGTCAGATATCAATAAGTGTACAGTATTGTGCTTTGGATATGTGCAAAACAAAGTGGTTGTGGTTAACTACCAGTGGGGTGTGTAAGGGAGATAATATGTTTATTAACTGTGCTTTTGAAAATGGTAGTTGTATATGCAGTTCTCGAGTTTTCAGGCAGGGAGTCCCAATGGACTATTGGGACCAAATAAAAGAACTTTCAGGTGCAGTCTGTGTACTGCGTGGATTTGGAGAAAGACATATCTTTAAAACACTAAGAAAAAATATTTTGCTTATCTGGATTGAAATCCATTTCATGCAAATTTATATTTAGGGTTTTGTGTTGCCTGATTGGTCAATATTAAACTGTCTTTTTAAAAGAAGAGTAGCAAGCCCTTTGAAAACTTTAAAAAACTTGTATTAATTGACAGCTAACCCAAAAAACTAAGAAAAAAATATATAAATTAGACATTTTGGTTGTGATAGACTTATAAAGTCGACAGACCGAACGGTCTAATTTCCATTTTTAGTTTATGGGTTAATTGTGAATTGTTGCACCCATGGCATCGAAACATTCATTTTACCTATGTCAGGATATCTCAAATCTTTGCACCCATCATAAGATTCATTAACCGTAGTCATTCTAAATGTGTTTTTCATAGGATTGGTGTTTTTAGTTTATGCATCACTTTATGAACATTCTTCCTCAAATTCAGTGATAGAAATTGTGATTAGCATTATATATAGCACATGTAAATGATTTGTGTCTTCAGCGTGACCTTCAGATTACAACTACAACGATCTACAAATCTAAAACCATGTTGACCTTGGTTATTACCTCAGTACACTGCCTGGTTTGCTTCAAATTATTTCTTATTCATCTTCTCACTTCCTACTCACTTAGCCACTCCTCACTATTACTTTATTTACTAATCCATTTCTTTCTCCTAGTTCCCTCCTACCTACCTACCTACTCTCTCCAACCCACACAGAGATTAACTCATTTCTCTCCTCAGCCACCCATTCACTATCAATGGATCACACAGATTTCTGACAATAAGATTTGAATGAGCCAAGAACACTGAGTTAGTCTGGGTGTATTGGTCCACCTGAACAGTGAGCAAAACAAATCATCTCAGAGGTTTCATTTACTGCCTTGTGCGATCCATAAGAGTACATGTGCTGTGTGTGTCTACTTTCTGCCTTGTGTGGTCCAGGCTACATGTGCTGTGTGTCTACTTTCTGCCTTGTGTGGTCCAGATTACATGTGCTGTGTGTCTACTTTCTGCCTTGTGTGGTTCAGGCTACATGTGCTGTGTGTCTACTTTCTGCCTTGTGTGGTCCAGATCACATGTTCTCTGGGTGTCTACATTTTGCCTTGCGTGATCCATAGTGTTACATGTGTTGTGTCCACCTTCTGTCTCATGTGGTTCAGGTTACGTGTGCTTAATGATATCCACTTACTGCCTTGTGTAGTCCAGGAGGTCATGTCGCCAAACTTGTCTGGTTCACAGAGATTGGTGTCGAAGGTCTCCCTCGGGTAGAGACCTGCCACAAGTGAGCAAGAAGCCCCAGATTAACTATACCCTTCACACAGTGTTCAGTACATTACTGCAAGCTATATCACTGTTAGAGATGATACATCAATTATATTCATGAATCCCAATAAGGAATTCTCAGGTGTGTTAAAGTTAGTTACAATGATGTCCAAATCAGATGTTTTCATGTATCACTCAGGTGAGTCATTTTCCGATGTGCTAGATGTGTCCCTTCATGTTTTTTCAAGGTATGTCCTACTTCAATATCCCAGGTGTCCTAGGCGTGTGTCCCAGGTGAGTGTCCCAGGTGAGTGTCCCAGGTATGTGTCCCAGGTATGTGTCCCAGGTATGTGTCCCAGGTATGTGTCCCAGGTATGTGTCCCAGGTATGTGTCCCAGGTATGTGTCCCATGTACGTGTCCCAGGTATTTATCCCAGGTGAGTGTCCCAGGTGTGTGTGACACTACAGGTCTCAGAGTAAACTCACCCAACATAAACTCGAGGACATTCGCGCTACGTCGCTTAAGCCACAGACAGTTGTAGTTCCACTCTCCACTGTAGAGTAAGATAGTCAAGTGTGAGGAGGGAGGAAGCTGTAGTGTGAGGAGGGAGAGAAGGATGCAGGGTGAGGGAGGGAGGAGAGAAACATAAATCATCCAGGTAGAAGCGATAATGATAAACATTCCATTTTTTCTTTTCCAAAAATATACTTGCCAAAAGTTCACTTGACTCAACAAGAACACCTCCCAGTTTCTTCCCATCACCAGGGTAGTGACCAGGGTAGTGACCAGGGTAGTGACCAGGATGGTGACCAGGGTAGTGACCAGGGTAGTGACCAGGGTAGTGACCAGGGTAGTGACCAAGATGGTGACCAGGGTAGTGACCAGGATGGTGACCAGGGTAGTGACCAGGGTAGTGACCAGGATGGTGACCAGGATGGTGACCAGGGTAGTGACCAGGGTGGTGACCAGGATGGTGACCAGGATGGTGACTAGGGTGGTGACCAGGATGGTGACCAGGATAGTGACCAGTATGGTGACCAGGGTAGTGACCAGGATGGTGACCAGGGTAGTGACCAGGATGGTGACCAGGGTAGTGGCCAGGGTAGTGACCAGGGTGGTGACCAGGGCGGTGACCAGGATGGTGACCAGGTTGGTGACCAGGGTAGTGACCAGGAGGGTGACCAGGAGGGTGACCAGGAGGGTGACCAGGATGGTGACAGGATGATGACCAGGATGGTGACCAGAGTAGTGACCAGGGTAGTGACCAGGATGGTGACCAGGATGGTGACCAGGGTGGTGACCAGGGTGGTGACCAGGATGGTGACCAGGGTAGTGACCAGGATGGTGACCAGGATGGTGAACAGGGTAGTGACCAGGGTAGTGACCAGGGTAGTGACCAGGATGGTGACCAGGATGGTGACCAGGGTAGTGACCAGGGTAGTGACCAGGATGATGACCAGGGTGGTGACCAGGGTAGTGACCAGGGTGGTGACCAGGGTAGTGGCCAGAGTGGTGACCAGGGTAGTGACCAGGGTAGTGACCAGGATGGTGAAAAGGGTAGTGACCAGGGTAGTGACCAGGATGGGACAGGGTGGTGGACCAGGATGGTGACAGGGGGTGGCCAGGATGGTGAAAGGTAGTGACCAGGAGGGACCGGTGTGACCAGGATCGTGACAGGATGGTGACCAGGATGGTGACAGGGTGAACAGGGTGTGACCAGGATGGTGACCAGGGTAGGGGACAGGGTAGTGACCAGGATGGTACCGGTGTGACCAGGATGGTGACCAGGGATGTGACCAGGGTAGTGACCAGGGTGTGCAGGTGTGACCAGGGATGTGACCAGGGTGGTGACCAGGGTAGTGACCAGGGTGGTGACCAGGGTAGTGACCAGGATGGTGACCAGGGTAGTGACCAGGATGGTGACCAGGGTGGTGACCAGGGTGGTGACCAGGGTAGTGACCAGGATGGTGACCAGGGTGGTGACCAGGGTGGTGACCAGGGTAGTGACCAGAGGAGTGACCAGGGTAGTGACCAGGATGGTGACCAGGGTGGTGACCAGGGTAGTGACCAGGGTGTAGACCAGGGTAGTGACCAGGGTAGTGACCAGGATGGTGACCAGGGTGGTGACCAGGGTGGTGACCAGGGTAGTGACCAGAGGAGTGACCAGGGTAGTGACCAGGATGGTGAGCAGGGTGACCAGGGTGGTGACCAGGGTAGTGACCAGGGTAGTGACCAGGGTAGTGACCAGGGTGGTGACCAGGGTGGTGACCAGGGTGGTGACCAGGGTAGTGACCAGGGAGTGACCAGGGTAGTGACTAGGATGGTGCAGATGGTGCCAGGGTGTGACCAGGATGGTGACCAGGATGAGTGACCAGGGTAGTGACCAGGGTAAAGGGGAGTGACCAGGGTGGTGACCAGGTTGTGACCAGGGTAGTGACCAGGAGTGACCAGGGTAGTGACCAGGGTGGTGACTAGGGTGGTGACCAGGATGGTGACCAGGGTAGTGACCAGGATGGTGACCAGGATGGTGACCAGGGTAGTGACCAGGATGGTGACCAGGGTAGTGACCAGGATGGTGACCAGGGTAGTGACCAGGGTAGTGACCAGGATGGTGACCAGGGTGGTGACCAGGATGGGCTGGGACCAGGGTAGTGACGAGGATGGTGACCAGGGTGGTGACGAGGATGGTGACCAGGATGGTGACCAGGGTAGTGACCAGGGTGGTGACCAGGGTGGTGACCAGGATGGTGACCAGGGTAGTGACCAGAATGGTGACCAGGGTAGTGACCAGGGTGGTGACCAGGATGGTTACCAGGGTAGTGGCCAGGATGGTGACCAGGGTGGTGACCAGGGTGGTGACCAGGATGGTGACCAGGGTAGTGACCAGGATGGTGACCAGGGTGGTGACCAGGGTAGTGACCAGGATGGTGGCCAGGGTGGTGACCAGGGTGGTGACCATGTGGGTGACCAGGTGGTGACCAGGTAGTGGACCAGGGTGGTGACCAGGATGGTTACCAGGGTAGTGGCCAGGATGGTGACCAGGGTGGTGACCAGGGTGGTGACCAGGATGAGGGAGTGGCCAGGATGGTGGCCAGGGTGGTGACCAGGGTAGTGACCAGGATGGTGACCAGGGTGGTGACCAGGTGGTGCCAGGATGGTGACCAGGGTGGTGACCAGGATGGTGGCCAGGTGGTGACCAGGGTGGTGACCAGGATGGTGGCCAGGATGGTGACCAGGGTGGTGACCAGGGTGGTGACCAGGATGGTGGCCAGGATGGTGACCAGGGTGGTGACCAGGATGGTGGCCAGGATGGTGACCAGGGTTTGACATACGAATGTGGACTTATGGTACCAGGTTGGTGACCATGATGTGGTGGCAGGAAGGGGATACCAGTGGTGCAGGAGGTACAAGATGGTTTCACCAGAGGTTCTGACCAGGGGCGGGTGGCCAGGATTGGTGCCGTGGGTAGACCAGGAAAGTTATTTAGGGTTGGTACACAATGGTGCCAGTAGGGGCTGACCACAAAAAGTCCAGTATATGACAATACCAAAGATATATTGACATTATTGTTAACCTAGGTTGTAAACTGACGTACCACAATGACTTATGTGGGAAGGATTACCTGATGAATTTCGAGTGAATACAATATAGTGTTCACATCGTCCAGGTCTCTGACACAGCGGGCGGTGTAGGTGCGGTAGTTATGGTAGTCCTGGCAGAGAAACAAGTAATATTTTATTTAGGCTTTGGGTACATAATACAATTTTTTTACAGTAGTCTTGACAGCACAAATTAAGTTCATTCAAGTATACACAAATACATTTACAAAGATTATCACACATTGCAGCATATGTGTATAGAACCTAGGATAACCAAAAAAAAAAAAAGTCAAAGATTCATGGGCACGTAAAAAAATACATTATGTTGATTTAACCTTGACTGACCCCCAATTAGGTTAAACACTGACTTATTTCCATCAAGGTTTCCAAAACGTTACTCTGAATGCACTCAGGGGGTCACTTCACTGACCCTGAGAGTGGTATAGGCTATCCAGAGAGGTGGTGATTACTATATAATTACAACTCTGCTAGAAAGACAATGCTTGAAGCTGCCATAACTAGTGAACCCTTAGTGGATATTTAAAGATAGCCTCACAAGCTCTAAGCTTGTAAATAAAGAAAGGTAGTAACTTATAACCTAACCTTGTAAAACCATTGTAGCGAGTGAGAGTGTACTCGCCTAATTGTGGTTGCAAGGGTCGATTCACAGCTCCTGCTCCTGCCTCTTCAGTGGTTGCTACTAGGGCCTCTCTCTCTCTCTCTCTCTCTCTCTGAGTTTTATTAAATCTCGTCTTAAAACTATGTATGGTTCCTGCCACCACTACATCACTTTCCAGACTATTTCACTTCCTGACAACTCTGTGATTGAAGAAATACTTCCTAACATCCCTTTGACTCATCTGAGTCTTCAACTTCCAACTGTGACCCCTTGTTTCTGTCCCATCTCCGGAACATCCTGTCTGTCCACCTTGTTAATTCCTCGTAGTATTTTATATGTAGTTATCATGTCTCCCATGACCCTCCTGTCCTCCAGTGTCGTCAGGCTGATTTCCCTTAACCTTTCTTCGTAGGACATTCCCCTTAACTCTAGGAGTAGTCTTGTTGCAAACCTTTGTACTTTCTCTAATTTCCTGATGTGCTTGACCAGGTGTGGATTCCAGATTGGTGCTGCATACTCCAATACGGGCTTGACTTACACTGTACTGTCTTGAATGATTCCTCATAGAGGTATCAGAACATTATTCTTAGGTTTGCCAGCCAACCATATGCTGCAGCAGTTATTTGGTTGATGTGCGCCTCACATGTGCTCGGTATTATACTCACCCCAAGATCCTTTTCCTTGAGTGAGGTTTGCAGTCTTTGGCCACCTAGGCTATACTCTGTCTGCGGCATTCTTTGTCCTTCCCTGATCTTCATGACTTTGCACTTGACGGGGTTAAATTCGAGGAGCCAGTTGCTGAACCAGGTCTTCTTGTAGTCCTGCCTGATCCTCATCCGATTTAATTCTCCTCATTAACTTCACATCTGCAAACAAGGACACTTCTGAATCTATCCCTTCCGTCATGTCATTCACATATACCAAAAACAGCACTGGTCCTAGGACAGACCCTTGTGGAACCCCGCTTGTCACAGGCGCCCACTCTGACACCTCGTCAATTACCATGACTCGTTGTTGCCGCCATGTCAGGTATTCTAGGATCCTTTCCTGTTATGCGTGTCGGATCCTCTAGCTTTTGTGAGGAACTGTGTCAAAGGCCTTCTTGCAGTCTAAGAAAATACAATATACCCACCCTTCTCTCTCGTGTTACCTTGTCATAAAACTTCAGAAGGTTTGTGACACAGGATTTCCCTTCCCTGCAACCATGCTGGTTGTCGTTTATAAGCTTGTTCATTTCTACATGATCCACCACTCTCCTGGTAATCTTCTCCATGACTTTGGATACTCTACACGTCAGTGACACAGATCTGTAGTTTAATGCCTCGTGTCTGTCTCCTTTCTTAAAAACTGGAACTACATTTTCCATCTTCCATACCTCAGGTAGTTGCCTAGTTTCAATGGATGTGTTGAAAATTTTTGTTAGTGGCACACACAGCGTCTTCGCTTCCTCTCTAAAGACCCACGGAGAGATGTCCGATCCCACCACCTTTGAGGTATCAAGTTTACAAATCAGCCTCACCTCCTCCTCGGTTGTGTGTATTCCATCCAGCACTTGGTGTATCCCTTTTTGGTGTATCCCCTTTTTCTAACTTCCTGGAGTCCTTCCTGTCTCCACTGTGAATATTTTAAATCTCACATTGAGCTCCTCACATACTTCTTGGTTGTTTCTTCTGAGCTACCTTCTTTCCTCAGCTTGACTACCTGGGCCTTGACTGTTGTTTTCCTCTTGATGTGGCTATACAAAAGCTTTGGGTCAGTCTTTACTTTCAATGCTATGTCTTTTCGTATATCGCTGGGCCTCCCTCCTTATCTGTACATATTCGCTTCTGGCTCTTTGACTAATCTCAGTTGTCCTGGGTCCTTCATCTTTTGTATTTTTTTCCATTCTCTAGCACACTTAGTTTTTGCCCCCCCCCCTACACTTTTGGATGAACCAAGGGCTCGTTCTGATCTTTCCATTATTTCTGTTGCCCTTGGGAACAAGCCCTTCTCTGCCTCCTTGCATTTTGTCACGTAATCCATCTCATTTACTGATTTTCCTAACAATTATCTTTCCCACTGAACCTCTTGCAGGAAGTTCCTCATGCCTGTGTAGTCTTTCCTTTTGTAGTTTGGCTTCCCCATTCTATTCCTGCTTCCCTCTCCACTTTTAACCCAACTATGTATTCAAAGCTCAGACCCACGTGATCCCTAGCTCCGAGGGGCCTTTTGTATGTGATGTCCTCTATGTCTGAACTATTCAAGGTGAATACTAGGTCCAATCTTGCTGGTTCATCCTCACCTGTCTCTGGTTGTGTCCCTAACATGTTGATGCATGAGGTTTGCCAGTACCACATCCATCTTGGCTTTCCATGTTTTGGGACCCCCATGTGGCTCCAGGTTTTCCCAGTCAATCTCCTTGTGATTGAAATCACCCATAACTAGTAACTTTTCACTACCCATGTGAGGTCAGCTAGTGTGTCCACCACTGCTCTGTTGCTCTCGTCATATTCTTCTCTTGGACTCCTGTAGTTCTGTGGCAGGTTGTACATCACTATTACCACCCTAGGGCCCCCAAACTGAATTGTTCCTATTATGTAGTCCCTTTCGCCCATTCTGTCCATTCTTTCCATTTCCTCAAATACCCACCGTTTTTTTTTAATGTATGTGTGTGTGTGTGTGTGTGTGTGTGTGTGTGTGTGTGTGTGTGTGTGTGTGTGTGTGTGTGTGTGTGTGTGTGTGTGTACTCACCTAATTGTACTCATCTAATTGTGGTTGCAGGGGTCGAGACTCAGCTCCTGGCCCCGCCTCTTCACTGATTGCTACTAGGTCCTCTCTCTCTCTCTGCTTCCTGAGCTTTATCATACCTCTTCTTAAAACTATGTATGGTTCCTGCCTCCACTACTTCACTTGCTAGGCTATTCCACTTCCTGACGACTCTATGACTGAAGAAATACTTCCTAACGTCCCTGTGACTCGTCTGAGTCTTCAGCTTCCAGCTGTGACCCCTTGTTCCTGTGTCCCCTCTCTGGAACATCCTATCTCTGTCCACCTTGTCTATTCCCCACAGTATCTTGTATGTCGCTATCATGTCTCCCCTGACCCTTCTGTCCTCCAGTGTCATCAGTCCGATTTCCCTCAACCTTTCCTCGTACGACATTTCCCTGAGCTCTGGGACTAGCCTTGTTGCAAACCTTTGTACTTTCTCTAACTTCTTGACGTGCTTGATCAGGTGTGGGTTCCAGACTGGTGCTGCATACTCCAGTATGGGCCTAACATACACAGTGTACAGTGTCTTGAACGATTCCTTATTAAGGTATTGGAACGCTATTCTCAGGTTTGCCAGGCGCCTGTATGCTGCAGCAGTTATTTGGTTGATGTGTGCCTCCGGTGACGTGCTCGGTGTTATGGTCACCCCAAGGTCTTTCTCCCTGAGCGAGGTCTGTAGTCTTTGTCCACCTAGCCTATACTCTGTCTGCGGTCTTCTTTGCCCCTCCCCAATCTTCATGACTTTGCATTTGGCAGGACTGAATTCGAGAAGCCAGTTTCTGGACCCCATGTCCACCCTGTCCAGGTCTCTGCAGTCCTGCCTCATCCTCATCCGATTTAATTCTTCTCATCAACTTCACATCATCTGCGAATAGGGACACTTCAGAGTCTATTCCTTCCATCATGTCGTTCGCATATATCAAAAATAGCACTGGCCCTAGAACTGACCCCTGTGAGACCCCGCTCGTTACAGGCGCCCACTGTGATACCTCTTCACGTACCATGACTCGTTGCTGCCTCCCTGTCAGGTATTCCCTGATCCATTGCAGTGCCCTCCCTGTTACATGTGCCTGATCCTCCAGCTTCTGCACTAATCTCTTGTGGGGAACTGTGTCAAAGGCCTTCCTGCAGTCTAGGAAAACGCAATCAACCCACCCCTCTCTCTCGTGTCTTACTTCTGTTACCTTGTCATAAAACTCCAGGAGGTTTGTGATACAATATTTGCCTTCCATGAACCCATGCTGGTTTTCATTTATAATCTTGTTCCGTTCCAGGTGTTCGACCACTCTCCTCCTGATAATCTTCCCCATGACTTTGCACACAATACATGTCAGAGACACAGGTCTGTAGTTTAGTGCATCGTTTCTGTTTGCTTTCTTAAATATGGGGACTACATTTGCTGTCTTCCATTTCTCAGGTAGTTGCCCAGTTTCAAGGGATGTGTTGAAGATTGTGGTTAGAGGCATGCACAGCATCTCTGCTCCTTCTCTAAGGACCCATGGGGAGATGTTGTCCGGTCCCATCGCCTTTGAGGTATCAAGGTCACTTAGCAGCTTCTTCACCTCCTCCTCGGTTGTTCGTATGTCATCCAACACTTGGTGGTATATTCCCTCTTGATGTTCCCTTCTGTGCTGACTTCCCACAGCCCTTCCTGTCTCTACTGTAAAAACTTCCTTAAATCTCCTGTTTAACTCCTCACATACCTCCTGGTCATTTCTTGTGAGTTCTCCCCCTTCTGTCCTTAATCTGATCACCTGGTCTTTGACTGTTGTCTTCCTCCTGATGTGGCTATACAACAGTTTCGGGTCAGTCTTGATTTTCGATGCTATGTCATTTTCATACTGTCGCTGGGCCTCCCTCCTAACCTGTGCGTACTCGTTCCTGGCTCTGCGACTGATCTCCCTATTTTCGTGTGTTCTCTGCCTTCTGTACTTTTTCCATTCTCTATTGCACTTTGTTTTTGCCTCCTTACACCGTCGGGTAAACCAGGGGCTCGCTCTGGTCTTCCCGTTGTTTCTGTTGCCCTTGGGAATAAACCTTTCCACTGCCTCCTTGCATTTTGTTGTTACATATTCCATCATTTCATTTACTGGCTTTCCTGCCAGTTCTCTGTTCCACGGGACCTCCTGCAGGAAGTTCCTCAACCCTATGTAGTCCCCTCTTTTATAGTCAGGCTTTTCCCATTCAACTCCTGTTACTCTCTCCACTTGCAGCTCTACTATATATTCAAAGCACAGAACCACGTGGTCGCTAGCTCCTAGGGGACTCTCATACGTGATGTCCTCAATGTCTGAACTGCCCAGGGTGAACACAAGGTCCAATCTTGCTGGTTCATCCTCCCTCTCACTCTGGTAGTGTCCTTAACATGTTGGTGCATGAGGTTTTCCAGCACCACGTCCATCATCTTGGCTCTCCACGTTTCGGGACCCCCATGTGGCTCCAGGTTTTCCCAGTCAATCTCCCTGTGGTTGAAATCCCCCATAACCAGCAACTTTGCTCTGCTGGAGTGAGCTCTTCTTGCCACCTCAGCAAGTGTGTCCACCATTGCTCTGTTGTTCTCTTCATATTCCTCTCTTGGCCTCCTGCAGTTCTGTGGTGGATTATACATCACCGCAATGACCACCTTGTGTTCCCCAGACTGAAGTGTACCTATGTAGTCTCTTTCTCCCATCTCATCTATGCCTTCCATTTTCTCGAATTTCCATCTGTGTGTGTGTGTGTGTGTGTGTGTGTGTGTGTGTGTGTGTGTGTGTGTGTGTGTGTGTGTGTGTTGCGCGCGTGCGTGCGCCACTCATGGCATCAACAAATTGAGATATTACTTAAGAATTTATGTTCGGTCGTGAACATGGTAACATTAGTGTGCCTGGTCGGTCTTTGTGCACACCTGGTATTGTATGCACCAGTGTACAAACTCAGGGAACAATGGCTGCAAACCTCCCTGAAAGAGGACCTCGGGGTGAGCACAGTTCCCAGGATCTCACCTGACACACATCAACTGAATAACCGCTGCAGCAAAAGTGAGATTGACAAATTTAAGGAAAGCTTTCATGAACATCAACGAGGCATCTACAGCCCACGATACGACATACGTCAGACCCATCTTGGAGTACGCAGCGCCAATATGGATCCCACATCTAGTTTAAGATGCAAACAAGCTGGAAAAAGTGCAAAGGTTTGTAACGGAACAAATGGCAGAGCTGAGGCCATAAGGACCAGAGGAGATATGATTACAATGTACAAAATACTCGAAAGAACTGACAGGGAGAGGTGGGTCTGAGGTACACAGTCACAGTTGAAAGTTAAAAGTACAGTCAGAGGGATGTTAGGAAATACTTATTTAGCCTTGGTTTGGTCAGGAAGTGGAACGACCTAGACATTGAAGTGGTAGAGGCAAAAACCATACATAGCTTTAAGAATATGAATGACGGGGCTCACACAGCCAAGACTGAAACCAGTAGTTACCAACAGGCGGGACCAGGAACTGGGATTCGACCCCTGCAACCACAATTGGGTGAGGTTAAGTACCTTGCAGTGTGTACCTGGTACTATGAGGACCTAACCTTCAGGACCTGTTAAAGCCTTCAACAAGTGAAACTGGTATATATAATTGTCAGGATGTAGTTTATCTGCATAATAATTTGTGAGGAGTGGCACTGTACAGTACTGTCATTATGATGTTATGTTCACTCACAGTATGAGTGGCAGGGGTTCTACACACGCAACAGACAGCAGGAGTCATAGGTACTGCACATAACACTCGTGGCTTCCTTCCACCTGGACACTTCCCAGGTCCTTGACACACCCACCACCACCACAACCACTTCCTGACGCTGCTACCTTAACACACCATCAACGTAAAGTACTGGTTGGTGCTGGTGTTACCTAGCCGGGAACAAACCTGTGACCTGTTTTAAAAAAACACTCCTACATCCTGGCTTGAGGCCCGATTCCCAGATTACACCAACAGACTATATCTGGTGGTATAATTTGGTGGTGGTGACATCTGCGCTGGTAGCAGTATTGGTGGTAATGGTGGTGATATCATCACTCATATAAAGCAGAAGTGAGGGGGTGTGGGCGTGAGAAAGGGTGGGCGTGCCACCACCACAGGCACCACACAACACACTTCCGGCAAACGACACAACACTACCTTGACACTTCACGTCAATCTGAGTCCAGGGAAAATATGAATATTAACAAAAAAGCTAACGTTATCTAGCCCTTTTTTATTCGACGTGTCAACAGTGTTTGTATTTACACGAAGTGGGAGCAACAGGGAGGTGCAGGGACGACCAGAGGGGCAAGGACGTGCAGGGGCGACCAGAGGGGCAAGGACGTGCAGGGGCGACCAGAGGGGCAAGGACGTGCAGGGGCGACCAGAGGGGCAAGGACGTGCAGGGGCGACCAGAGGTACAAGGACGTTCAGAGATTACCAGAGGCGCACAGGAATACCAGGGATGACTAAGAGGTAGATGGATAACTAAAGAGGTGCAGGGAGGTGTATTAAGAGTTGTGTTGAGTGATAGCAAGAGAGCCACCAGGCCCTGGCATTGTCCCTCGCTGCGCAGAACAAAAACTTAAGAGCCAGAGGTCATGAACTCACTTTGAAGACGACGGTGTCATCAGCAACGTAAGTGTGGTGCCAGTGTCCTCGCAGACTCCTGGGGAAGGTGCAGCTAGAGGAGGTGACATCAGGTGGCAGCGGCGGCGGTGGCACCGACGTCAAGACGTAGGTCTCGTACCTGCAGTGATAATAAGTGACTTAAGTAAACATCTCTCGGAAGCACAGGTGAAGTCTGCAGACCCAGGAACTCTTTTTAGGACCATGGAAGTTGTAAGTCTTAGGACACTAAAGGTTATGTCAGATCCATCATGGTATTTGTAAGCCAGTCTGGAACCCAAGTAACTTCAAAATGCAGTGTTCATCTAAGCAGTAACAAAAAGTTATTTCAGCACACAGCTTTCTTACATGGTGAGAACACTGAATGTGAGAGCTCGAACAAGGACCAAGAGACGAGTGGAAACTCAACAACCCAACGAGACATCAGTTTCACTAAACTTTTGTGTGTGTGTGTGTGTGTGTGTGTGTGTGTGTGTGTGTGTGTGTGTGTGTGTGTGTGTGTGTGTGTGTGTGTGTGTGTGTGTGTGTGTGTGTGATGGTCAGGTAGATTGCATTCATGTGGCACCTGGGAGGATGGAAGGCATTTAGGTTCAATCCAAGGAAGGGGACAGCAGGTCCAGTTCTTTGCATCAAGAGCTCCTCACCGCCATGAAAGAAACTCCCTCTAGAGAGGTAGTTAAGACCGAGTGGAAGGCTCTTAAGATACTGAAGACTGACTGTCACACGCGCGCGCACACGCGCACACACACACACACACACACACACACACACACACACACACACACACACACACACACACACACACACACACATGTAACAACAAAGTGCAAGGAGGCAGAGGAAAGGTTTGTTCCCAAGGGAAATAGAAATAATAGGAAGACCAAAGCGAGTCCTTGGTTTACCCGAAGGTGTAGGGAGGCAAAAACTAAGTGCACCAGAGAATGGAAAAGGTACAGGAGGCAAAGAACCCAGGAAAATAAGGAGATTAGCTGTTACTGCTGGCTGGATTGCGTGCAGCCAGCAGTAACAGCCTGGTTGATCAGGCTCTGATCCACCAGGAGGCCTGGTCACAGACCGGGCCACGGGGGCGTTGACCCCCAGAACTCTCTCCAGGTAAACTCCAGAGCCAGAAACGAGTATGCACAGATAAGGAGGGAGGCCCAGCGACAGTACGAAAACGACATAGCATCGAAAGCCAGGTCTGACCCGAAACTGCTGTATAGCCACATTAGGAGGAAGAGAACAGTCAAAGACCAGGTGATAAGGCTCAGGAAAGAAGGTGGGGAACTCACAAAAAACGATCAAGTATGTGAGGAACTCAATATGAGATTTAAGGAAGTATTTACAGTGGAGACAGGAAGGCCTCTGGGGGGACAGAACAGAGGGGGACACCAGCAAGGAATATACCTACAAGTGTTGGATGACATACATACAAATGAGGAGGAGATGAAAAAGCTGCTAAAGGACATCGATACCTCACAGGCAATGGAACCGGACATCTCTCCCTCCTTAAAGAGGGAGCGGATATGCTGTGTGTGCTACTTACCACAATCTTCAACACATCCCTTGAAACTGGGCAACTACCTGAGGTATGGAAGACGGCAAATGTAGTACCCATTTTTAAAAAAGGAGACAGAAACGAGGCACTAAACTATAGACCTGTGTCGATGACGTGTATAGTATGCAAAGTTATAGAGATTATCAGGAGGAGAGTGGTGGAGCACCTGGAACGGAACAAGAGTATAAACGCCAACCAGCACGGATTCATGGAAGGCAAATCCTGTGTCACAAACCTCCTGGAGTTTTATGATAAAGTAACAGAAGACACGAGAGAGAGGGGTAGGTTGATTGCATCTTCTTGGACTGCAAGAAGGCCTTTGACACAGTCCCTCACAAGAGATTAGTGCAGAAGCTAGAGGATCAGGCGCATATAACAGGAAGGGCACTGCAATGGATCAGAGAATACCTGACAGGGAGGCAACAACGAGTCATGGTACGTGATGAGGTATCACAGTGGGCACCTGTGACAAGCAGGGTCCCACAGGGGTCGGTCCTAGGACCAGTGCTATTTTTGGTATATGTGAACGACATGATGGAAGGGTTAGACTCCCTGTTCGCAGATGATGTGAAGTTAATGAGGAGAATTAAATCAGATGAGGATCAGGCAGAACTTCAAAGAAACCTGGACAGACTGGACACCTGTTCCAGCAACTGGCTTCTCGAATTTAACCCAGCCAAATGCAAATTCATGAAGATCGGGGAAGGGCACAGAAGACCGCAGTTTAGGCTAGATGGCCAAAGACTGCAAACCTCGCTCAAGGAGAAAGATCTTGGGGTGAGTATAAGGAGAAAGATCTTGGGGTGAGTATAACACCGAGCATGTCTCCGGAAGTACACATCAACCAGATAACTGCTGCAGCATATGGGCGCCTGGCAAACCTGAGAACAGCGTTCCGATACCTTAGTAAGGAATCGTTCAAGACACTGTACACCGTGTACGTCAGGCCCATACTGGAGCATGCAGCACCTGTTTGGAACCCGCACTTGATCAAGCACGTCAAGAAATTAGATAAAGTGCAAAGGTTTGCGACAAGGTTAGTTCCAGAGCTAAGGGAAATGCCCTATGAAGAAAGGTTAAGGGAACTCGGCCTGACGACAATGCAGGACAGGGGGTCAGGGGAGACATGATAACGACATATAAAATACTGCGCGGAATAGACAAGGTGGACAAAGACAGGATGTTTCAGGGAGGGGACACAGAAACAAGAGGTCACAATTGGAAGTTGAAGACTCAGATGAGTCAAAGGGATGTTAGGAAGTATTTCTTCAGTTATAGAGTTGTCAGGCAGTTGAATAGCCTAGAAAGTGACGTAGTGAACCATACATAGTTTAAAGACGAGGTTTGATAAAGTTCATGGAACAGGGAGAGAGGACCCAGTAGCAACCAGTGAAGAGGCGGGGCCAGGAGCTAAGACTCGACCCCTGCAACCACAAATAGGTGAGTACACACACACACACACACACACACACACACACACAAGCACGTCAAGAAATTAGAGAAAGTGCAAAGGTTTGCAACAAGGTTAGTTCCAGAGCTAAGGGAAATGTCCTGTGAAGAAAGGTAAAGGGAAATAAGCTTGACGACACTGAAAGACAGGAGGGTTGAGGGAGACATGATAAAGACATACAAAATACTGCGAGGAATAGATAAGGTGGACAGAGACAGATGTTCCAGAAATGGGACACAGAAACAAGGGTTCACAATTGGAAGCTGAAGACTTCTACGAGTCAAAGGGATGTTAGGAAGTATTTCTTTAGTCATAGAGTTGTCAGGAAGTGGAATAGCCTAGAAAGCGACGTAGAGGCATGAACCATACATAGTTTTAAGACGAGGTTCGATAAAGCTCGTGGAGCAGGGAGAGAGGACCTAGTAGCAAACAGTGAAGAAGCGGGGCCAGGAGCTATGATTCGACCCCTGCAACCACAAATAGGTGAGTACACACACATACAAGCAGAGGTTCATATCAGCTGAATAACCTCCGCAGACAATGCTCAGATGACAAATCTAAGAGCAGTCTTCCGGAACCTCAACAAAGAAACATTCCAGGTATTTTGTACAATACATCAGACAGTAATGAATCGCAAGTATGAAATCCGCACATGAAAATACATGTAAAGAGTCTACAGAAAGTGCAGAGAAATGGAACAGGAATTTTTCCAGAGCTAAGAGCATGAGCTAGGAGGAGACTACCATAAATGAATAATAATACTGGAGAACAGAAGAACAATATACTAGAGAGGAACTGATAGGGTAGACAGATATGTTATCTGAAAGGCAGAAAACAGATACTCAAGGGTACAGCTGGAAGCTCAAGAAAACGATGAGTCACAGGATGTCAGGAAGTATTTCTTTAGTCTCTGGGTGATCAGGAAGTGGAATGACCTCGACGAAGTGGTAGGGGGGTAGGCTGCATCATACAGTTTTAGGAGCAGGTACGATAGGTCCCAGGAGGTTAGAAGGGAGTGACTAGCAAGTGGCAAGTTGAGAGGAGGGGACAGGAGCTAAGAATCGACCCCTGCAACCATATATAGGCGAGTACACAAGCACATTCGCGTGTGCGTGTGTAACCAGCTGCTTCCTCTCTCATTGTCCTCTACAGTGTGTCTGTATTTATGCTGTAACAGGGACAAAGTCAAAATATCTCGAGTAACTGTACCCCATTCATAGGTAGTGACTACCCGTTGAGCCTGGCACCTGGTAAAGTGAGAGAATACCATGATAGTTACTACCTACGACCCACTGCAATGCTATGCTTAGAAGTATTGTGGAACGAGATTTCCCATTAACTTTGAAGTAAATATTTGCCTCTGGAGTGTTGGAGAATCGATCTGGTGATCTCCCAGAGGCGAAGCCGTAGTTCCTCTCTCAGCCTGTAGTTCTACCTAGTCACTAGGCTTGTGAAGCCTCAAACTTTGACAAAAATTTTAAGAAATTTTACGGGAACACCCAACACACTATGATAACTATATCTCTCTATCACTGTGTAATTTAAACACTTATTTGACTTGAAACAAAGAAGTTTGTGGAGGCTGTTTTTCACCTTGTTTGCTTCTTTACTACACTGATACTAGTATTCTTGACCTATTACATTCCATAACATCTACGCTTGAGACTATGTAAGCAGTTTGACTACCCATTTCTCTACAGTTGAAAAAGCACTAACTAACGTCTATATAGTTCATCCAATTTTTGTGTGATGATCGATGTTCCTCTATCTCCATTTAACCTACAAATTCCTCTATCTGGTACATTATTGCCATGTCTCTCTCCTGATCTTACTGTTATAAGTTAGAATCTGCCTAGTCGTTCCTCGGTTAATTTCCCTCGTAGAATATAAGCCTAGGAAACTTACCCATCAGTAGGAGAGTAGAGGCCATTGGTGCAGGTGGAGTCCTCACTGAAAGCCACGAACACTCTCCCTGTGCCAGCTTCTTCTCGGAACATCTGCAGATACGATACACATCTTGCACGTCTAATACATGTTTTACTCAAGATCAAGTACACTGTTATGTTGAGGCTCAAGACACGTGAACAAACAAGGTCCCAGGACCTCATTCACTCCCGGAACAAGGTCCAAGGACCTTATTCACTCCCGGAACAAGGTCCCAGGACCTTACTCACTCCCGGAACAAGGTCCCAGGACCTTATTTACTCCCGGAACAAGGTCCCAGGACCTTATTCACTCCCGGAACAAGGTCCCAGGACCTTATTCATTCCTGGAACAAGGTCCCAGGACCGTAATGTTGTCATAATAGTGTGTTAAGTGTTTGTTCATGTGTTTAACTACAACTTGTCGGTATTATATACCAGGTCTTCACCATATTACATTGACAAACTGATGAATTTTCAGCAAGGTAAGATACCACCACAGTTTATGGGCGACACGCGCGCTCAAGTTTACACAGATACAATGATGAACAACATACTTGTGATGACACTCATGACAGGTTGAGGGTTGAGTACTTACTCCACACTTGTAGCGTGATGTTGAGTACTTACCCCACACTTGTAGCGAGGAACGTAACTTCCGATCTTAACACTGGAGTCCAACACAGCCAAGTAGTTATGGCGATCATGACCAACCCAAGATCCCAGGCACTGCAAGCTACCGTCTGGTACAAGGACACATTTAGTTCACCACACAGATATATGAACCCATACAAAGTTGATCAATGAGACACTTCTGTAACATTTGCGTATCTATTCTGGAAACGTTTCGCCAGCCAGTGGCTTCTTCAGTCCAATGCGGAGATAGGTGAAAGATGATAAGTTCGACGTAATCAGTCCCTCAGCAATTGATGGACTGAACACATGGACTCCAGGCTGAGGGACTGATTACTTCAAACTTCTCATCTTTCGCCTTTCTCCGCACTGGACCGAAGAAGTCACTGACTGGCGAAACGTTTCCAGAATAGAGATACGCTAATGTTGCACAAATGTCTCATTTATCAACTCGTAGGTTTCCTAAACTATTTATTCACACACAAAAAAAGTACACTATTGATATTTAACATCAACACTGATCAGCGGGCCACCGCCGCCACCCGCCATGACACTCACTGCGTGGGGTGGGGAAGGTACAGTCACGGTAGGTGATGCTGAAGCCAAACCCGTGGGGGCAGTTGGAGAACTCTGAGGTAGGTTGGTCACAGGAGTTTTCCAGCCCAGTCTTTCCCCTCCTGGCGTCCCCCACCTGGTAGGTGAAGGTAAAGCGGCCGTTTAAGGGACAATCCACAGTAGTGATGGCGTCCTCACCCCAAGTTGTCTTACTCTCTGTCAACAACACAACGCGGGATTAACACAGCTGCCGCCACCACCTCGTAGTAATAACAACACACGCTTTATATCCGCATTGTATTGTGGTAACAAGACTAGGAACAATACTGTCATTGAAACAACGCACAAATAACCCGCACATATGGGACAAACTCATGATGACGTTTCGGTCAGGCTTGGACCATTAACTAGTCACACTAGTTGATGGTAGAATTACCGACAGAATGTTAGGTAAATGGTGACAGATGCAACTAATGTGGAGAGCAAAACGGTGCCACAATAAAATGTCACATTAGTTGCATCTGTGACCATTTACCTAACATTCTGTCGGTAATTCTCTCATTAACTAGTCTGATTAGTTAATGGTCCAATGACTGAAACGTCGTCATAAGTTTCAATTACTATTATTATTTGTTTCTGGGCCCTAAAATTATATAAACTAAACCAGTTATAGTAATAATTAACCGTTTGTAAGAATACTGAATTAGTTTGCAAAATTATTGGATATAAACACTGATTACAATAATAACGACGTTTCAGAGGCATAAAGTCTTGGAAGAGGATATATACACTGAGAGGTGTGTATCCCTCAGCATATAAACAGAGGTCTGTATACCTCAAAGTATATACAGCGAGAGTTGAAATACAATTTTAATGACCCTTGTGCGGTGGATAGACTCTAATGACCCTCGAGTAATGGACAGACTTTAAACCTAATATACAAACTAACTCTAAGCTCACTAAAATGCCAAACCACTCACTGTAGAGCATGAGATGGGCGGCGGTGTGGGCGGCTAGGTGGGCGGGGGTGGGACAGGTGCGGAGGGCGGCGGCTTCAGTGGTGTAACAGGTCTGGAGACCTGTAGACCACACCTGCACCACCTGTGGCGTTACCACCTCCAGCTGGATGCAGCGGTAACACAGCGTGCTGCCTGACCTGTGACACACATGACCATGTTACACCGAGTGCTCAGCGGGGAAGGTGGGGGAGGAAGGAAGAATGAAAAAGATAGAGAGAAAGAGGTGAAAAATTTGGAATTTAAAAACAAAACAGCCAGACTGATCAGCAGATATAGGAACATATGAAAGAACACTGCAATAGACCTACTGGCCCATGCTAGGCACGTCAATCTTACACCCACTCGTATCCCCGTCCAACCTATATTTAAAGTCACAATACAGGAGATACACACTCACCTGTCTGTGAGAAGAATGTAGTCATCTAGACGCTGGTGACAGGATCCCCACTGTAGTATGGTGTCTGAGTGTATGGTGAGCTCTTGGTAAGTGATGGGTGACCTGGTGACACGCCTGCCATCACCAATGTGACCAGTAACTTGTGTGTGCCACACACCTTGCAACTCCCCGGGGAAGAAACACACACACCGGCCTGTAAGAGAGTACCTCTGTAACACCACCACCTGTCTTTCCTCTCGCCGCATGTGTTGTGTAGTGACCACCTGCCTCTCCTCAAGAATTTCTGACATAATCCTAACACCACAGGACTTTGAAAAGCAATAATTGACATGCTCATGAACTCTGCCCCAGGCCCAGACTCGTGGAACTCAGTGTTCCTCAAGAACTGCAAGAAATCCCTTTCATGTGTTTTTTATATTCTATGGAGAGGGAAGACAGACATAGGGGTCATCCCACAGTCACTAAAAACAACAGATATAGCCCCACTCCACATAGGTGGCAGTAAAGAAATTGCCAAGAATTACAGACCGATAGCACTAACGTCCCACATCATAAAAATCTTTGAAACAGAGTTTTAAGAAGCAAGATCGCCAACCACTTGGATGCCCAACAACTGCACAATCCAGGGCAACATGGGTTTAAAACAGGTCGCTCCTGCCTCTTACAGCTACTAAGCCACTATGATATGTCTTGGATGCTCTGGAGGACAAACAAAATACACATGTAGTACACACAGATAAACAAATAACCCGCACATAGAAGAGAGGAGCTTACGACGACGTTTCGGTCCGACTTGAACCGAAACATCGTCGTAAGCTCCTCTCTTCTATGTGCGGGTTATTTGTGTATCGTTCCAGTCACGGTATTGTGCCTTTTTTTGTTATTTAGTATACAAAGACTTTGCGAAAGCCTTCGACAAGTGCGACCATGACGCAATAGCACACAAAATGAGTGATAAAGGAATGACAGGAAAAGTTGGTAGGTGGATCTATAGCTTCCTATAGGTTTAGCGCTTCTTTTTTATAATAATAATAATAATAATAAACGTAGCTTCCTAACAAATAGAACACAAAGAGTAATAGTAAACAGAGGAGGCTACAGCAAAAAGCTCTGTTCCACAAGGCACAGTACTCGCTCCCATCCTTTTCCTCATCCTTATATCTAACAGACAGAGATGTAAGCCACAGCACCACGTCCTCCTTTGCTGATACCAGAATTTGCATGACTATGCCATCCATTGAGGACACTGAAAATCTCCAAGCGAACATTAGCCAAGTCTTTAAATGGTGTAGATGTACCCTTTAACAAATCCACAATACCACAACTAAATAAGAAATGCAAAGATAGGCTAAATGCTCTCAAAGCTGTTGCTGGCTACAACCCCAACTATGGTGCTAATGTGAGAATCGTGAGAATGGTGTACATAGCCTATGTTAGGTCCTTAATTGATTATGCTGCTTCCATGTTGATATTTGCTAGAGAAAGTTCTCTCCGACCCTTGGAGTTAATGCAAAATGAAGCTCTCAGAATTATTCTTGGGTGTCCCAAATCTACAAAGGTTCTTAATATGAGGGAGGAGCCTGGTATTTCTAGTATCAGTAATAGGATTGTTGAGATTAACACTGTACTCGGTATTAGAATGTTGAGAAACGAACCAGACACTGTCACAGTGAATCTTACCAAGTGTCTAGAGGTAAATACACACAGATCTAAATGGATTGTGAAAACGTGCAATTGCATTAAGTTTTATAACCTGCATGAACTGTATCACTGTAGACAAGAGCATTTCACCCCTCCATGGAAGATGTGTCCATTTAATATCATATACCTGCAAGTCCCTCCCAAGAAGCTCATTACTAGTAATACTTTCCTTAAATAACTTGTTAGAGCAACTGCTCAAGAAGAAATTTCTCGCCTAGCTGGTAGTAATAAGTTACCACAAGTTATATACACTGATGGATCTAAACAGGAGTCTTCTGGCAGGGCTGCATCTGCTCTTGTTGCCACCTCCCTAGTTAAGAACCATAATAAATTTGTTGAGTTGGGCATAAGAATTAACAACTGGGCGTCTACACTGCAAACTGAATTGTTTGCAATCCTAATGGCGCTAAAGCTAACCTGTGATACTGAGCTTGACTCTATCATCATTACTGATTCTATGTCATCATTGAAGGCTCTTGACTCATATAATGACTCCAACAACATGCTCATTGGAGAAGCCAGGTATAGATACTCAAAAATCAGGGACAAAGGAATTAATGTACAATTGCTATGGATCCCATCACACATTGTATTACTCCTTCATGATAAAGTTGATATGTTAGCCAAGAAGAGCACCCAGAAGGAGAATGTAGAATATAACTTTGGTATAACTGTGTCAAGCATTAGGAATAATATTAGGAGAGAAGTAAATAATGAAAATGATTGTTATAGGAATGCAGTTAGAAGCCTGAGTAGATCTATAACCCACTATGATAACATGAACGTAGATAAGTATGTTTATGGAGCAACTTGCAATGTGAACAGACTGACTGATGTTGTAGTGGCCAGGCTTAGGCTTGGTTACAAGTACTTCTGGCAGTTTGGGAGACACACACATGATGATCAAACTAAATGCAAATTATGTGATCAGACATATGGTCACTGCCTTGAACACTGTGCTTAATTGTCCACTTATTGAGGAATACAGAGACAGACAGTATAATAACCTATGTGACATGCCAAGATATCTTATTAATGAAAATAAGATACAAGATATACTAAGCAAATTTCCTAAATTTGCTTGTAACAGATAAGTGAATTATAGATATGTAGATATAAATCCATATGTATTCCTGTTAACCCTTTGGGGCCTAGTTCCTAGGCCTTTTGTGTATCCATATGCTCTTGCGCTACGTCCACAGTATGGATATGGGATGCACAAAAACTAGCCACTTCGGTGGCAAAATATAAAATCTAATCTCAGAGAACGATATGAAGTTCAATGAAGACAAGTTTCAACTACTCCGCTATGGAAAACTCGAGAAAATAAAAACTGGATCGGAGTATAAAATATTCCAAACACAACAGAGCGAAAAACTAATGTGAAGGACCGGGGAATGACGATGTAAGGAAATCTCATTTAAAAAGACCACAACAATGATCTACCTCATTGCGGGAAAAGAAGGATGGATAATGAGAACCTTCAAAACTAGGGTTTGCCAACCAAGATGATTCTTTTAAAATCGCTTGTTCCTCTAGGCGGGAAATTTAACTGTACAAAAAGGCCCCCTCTAAAGGGGGGGGAAAGGGGCAGCCCCTGGGAATGTACAGAGAAATTTCACGACTTGTAATTCGACAAAGCAATGAAAATCCCCCCACAAAAAAAGATTCGGAAAGAGTTTGCAAAAACCCCCCATTGACAAGCGGGGGGCGCCACGAGTACACAGAGAAAAAACATAATAAGTTTTTGGGGGCCCCAAAATTTTTCCCAACTGCCTCCAGAAATACAAAAGGGGGGATTCCCAAATAGCCCCCTGGCTTTTCTTCAAGAAGGCTTTTGTAAGACACCAAAGCGTACCGATCAGCCGGGCTGTGATTCGTACGTAAATTTTACGTGCGGCCAGAAAAGTAACAGCCGGGTTAAACGGGTCTGACCCCACCATGGGGCTGGTCTTGCCCTGCCGGGGGGGGCGTTGCCCCGGGAATACTCCCCAGGTTTTCTCTGGGAAATTACGGGCTTCAGCTGTGCTCTAATACCCCACTGGGGACATCCTTTTTGGTTGTGATGGGTTCAGACTTTGTCAGGTCCCAAATTGTGGGGGGAAGGGGGTATTTGTAATAGGGTGGTGGTGGGGGTGGGGGAAGTAGTGGTTTTTGAAAAGGGGGGCCCCGGGGAAAATTATGACAGGTTACTAGCGTCCCCACTCTTTTCCGTTTTCCCCTTTTCTCTCTCACCTCCCTCCCCCCACCTTCCCCCCCCCTTTTTTTTCCCCTTTTCTATCACCCCCCCACACCCCTTTAAAATTTTAAAAAAAAAATTTTAAAAAAAAAAAAGTTTATTCCTAAAAGGATTACAATGCCGATTTTACAAATTTTGGGTTATTGAAAATTTTTTTTCCTTAGTAAAATAAAATCGAAAGAAACCCAAAGTTTTTTCTTCTCCTATGAAAACCCAAAACGAGAAAAAAGCCCAGAAATTGGGGCCCCTACTTAAAAAAGATGGGTCCTACACAGATGACAGCAAGGAAATGATTGACTCTCAAGTCCCAAAAAAAAAATTTGACTCGGGTTTTAGAACCCGCCAAACCAAACCCTGAGAGTCGAAGATAAAAAATGAATTTTTTTTTTGAGACCCACAAAATTTTTTAAACCCACAAGCCTACCCATTTTCCCCTGACCCAAAAATGATTTTCGAACAGGCAAAATAAATGACAGGGCCCAAAGCATTCTCCCCCGGGGCCAACTCATGAACCCCTGTTTTCCCATCAAGAACTGCAAAAAAGCCCTATCAAAGCCTTTTCCACCTATGGGAGGGGCATAAACAGGGGGGTTCGCCCCTCAGTTACAAAAAACAACAGACATAGCCCCACCCCAAAAAGGGGGGCTTAAAAGCAACAGCAAAGAAAAAAACCCAAAATTACCTAAAAACCCCATATCAAAAAAAATTTTTAAAAGGGCCAAAAAAGCAAAAATCACCCCCCATCAAAAAAACCCATCATTTACACAACCCAGGGCAACAGGGGGTTTAGAACAGGTCGCTCCTGTTTTGCTCAACAAAACGGGATCATTTACGAAAAGGGTCCAAAGGCACTAAAAGACAAAAAAATGCAGATGTAATATATACAGATTTTTCCCAAAACCCCCTTCGCCCAAGTGTGACCATGGCGTAATAGCCCCAAAAAATGCCGCTAAGGAAATAACGGGAAAAAGTCGGTCGATGGATCTATTTTTTCCCTCCCCTAACAGAACACGAGAGAAAGTCGCAACAGAGAAAAGGGCCGAGGCGCTACGGTGAAAAGTTTCTGTTCCAAAAGGGCACGTACTAGCCCCAAACTTTTTCCCTCATCCCATACCCCACATAGAAAAGGTTTGTCACCACGCACCGTGTCTTCCTTTGCAGATGAAAAACCCGTTTCTGCAGGGACAGTGTCTTCCATTGCAGACACTGCAAGGCTCCGGGGCGGCCATAAACCCCAAATCTTTCAGGGGGCTGCGGGAAAACTTAGAAGTTCAACGTTTGGGGAAATTTTTAAAATTATCAGATATGGTAAACATGGGGAAAAATTAAACCCTTCATCAAGTAAAAAATTTCGGGGCAAAAAATGAGCAAAAACACCAACTTTCAAAGACCGGGGAATGTTTATGTCGGAG